CTACCTAGCACAAAGCTCCTGACGCAAGGGGCAGGGCCAGCTCTATGGTTCTCAGGTCCCCAGATCCAGCCCACTCACACTCACACCACCCAGGTCAGGTCTACTATTTTGCAAAGTGCAGGACTCTCTCACCCGACTGCTGCAAGGGGTATACGTAGTGTGTGTGTGTGGGCGGGGGTGGGGATGTCAGCTCTCTTGCTCTCACGTCCTCAGGTCCAGCTCACCAGCAACCCATTCCACAGGGTCAGCTCTGGTGTGCTATCCAGGAAAGGTTCAGGATCTGCTCTCCTGTGTGTTGCAGCTAGTGGGGGGGCAAGGCTAGCCCTCTCACTCTCATGACCCCTGGCCAACTCTCTCTCTCTTGTACAGCACATAGCAAGGAGTAGAGGGGGAAGGCATCTTTCCCTCACCAGTGCCACCACTGCTTATGATCAATCAACAAGTTTCTGAAAACAGTGTATTATGGGGCAAATGGAGGAGTGATTTGTTTTACTTTGGTTCTCAGGAAAATGGTCACAAAATCTAAACAAAAAAAAATGACATGAAGCAATTTCGATTGTACAGTAACAAAAGTGGGTCATTGTTCTCTCAGAGAGCTTTTATGTGCAAAGCACATTTGATAATAATGTGAATTCTTTTAAGCTATTATATTCTGTGACCATCTGGGGAAATAGTTTGGAGGGTAAATCCAGCAGAAAGGATATTAAAAGGAAAAACAACAGACATAGTTGATTGTTTTTGACAGTCTCTTACAGTATGATATCCAGGGTCCATATCACAGTGATAATACTGAAAAAATTTTCTAATGACTTCATCATTGTTCCCAGCAGTGTCCTGGAGTTCCAATTCTAAGGGCAAGGCTTTTTGTAGGCATCTGATGTGAGAACAGAACTCAGAGAATTTTGTGAGAAATTGTTTCTTCACATGAAGTACACTTGATAATAACATTTTAATGTAATATTGACATTTCTGGTTTTTAACTCTGTTGGGCAGAGTCTGGAGGGAAGGAAAATCACGTGTGGTAGCCTCAGCGTGAGTGCTTAGCATCATGACAGCTCAGCTCAGATTCATCCTAAATCAGACACACTCTGGTAGAAAAGATCTAAGGTTTCCTTCATATTTTACAGAAGCAGATTGGATTTCATGAGAAACAACGGCTGACATTTTCTTGATATTATTATTAGAGTGACTATTATGGACAATTTTAGAAATCAATTTTTGTAGGTTTCATAGTAATAAAATGTTGGATAATTCCCATTATTGTAGTATGTGTCTATATATGCAAATATACATGCATACACACATCCATATGCCTATAATTTGATTGGTGTACTGTTTTAAATATTTGGACTGATTTGGTCAACTTGCTTAAACGACTGTGCGATTGAGTCAGATCGCCACACCAATGATCCTCCTGGCATACATGGTTGAACAGGATTATCTGTATGCTTGCTCCTTCTGACCCCCATGCCAATTGTATCCAGATCACCTTGGGTCTAGCTGTATATGCAGGATCTCAACTGGAAGCCCCAGAGGCAGAGAATCAGCTTCTACCTTTAACAACGTCTTTGGGTAATTAAAGCTTTAACTGCACCAGGTGATCCTGGCTCAGGCTGCACATTAGAACCCCTCAGGATGCTTTCTAGCACTGTTTTCTTTCCCAGACCTAATAAGGAGACTGATTAAATCAGACTCAAGTGGAACCTTGGCATAGGCATTTTTAAATGTGTGCCAAGTTGTTCTAATATGCATTCAGGTTTCAGAACTATTGATTTCACAATGTCAGAACAACCAGCAAAGTTGCTATCTTCTAAAAGAGGATAATAAAGGAAAAAGTCAAACCAATATCTTAGTGTTTGATGGCACTTCACAAATGATCGAGTTTTTAAATTTTAATAGGTTTGCTTGTCTGCCGTGTGAACTCGGGCTGCTATGTTCCAACCTGCCCAAGACTATGTGGTGAATCAAGACAAGGAACACATTACTATCCAACTAACAAAAGGAGGTTTGGGGTTTATTTTTCAGCTTTATTTCATTTTCAAAGCATGTTGTCCAGCCCGACAGATCTAAATGTATCCATTGCATTTGCTGCGACTTTGAATGCCCATCACTTCCAGGCAGTTTTCATTTTATCCCCCACTTCTCATGGTAAGCCAAACAGTTCCCCCTCTATTGCTCTCTTCTCCTGTCCCATAGTGTCACTTCATGATCTTATGTTGTTAACTCTACTAGTTAATGACACAAAATGACCTGTTTAGTATGTACATGTGATATCAAGAATTAGCCATCTATTTCAGGATGTCATGCATGAACAAGATAAAATGAATAAACAAATCATAGCATGGTACACACGAACCCCCTTATTAGCCTGTTTTATAGATGAGGAAGCAGTCTCCAGCAAGCAAGTATGATGCCCTGATCAGTGCCAGCAGTAGAATATGTTTTCTCAAGACTATATGACTCAAAGAACAGAGGCTATTTGGTTTTGTGTGTGTGTGTGTGTGTGTGTGTGTGTGTGTGTGTGTGTGTGTGTGTGTGTGTGTACAGCAGAGTGCATAGTTGAAGGTAGACTAAGAATATAAGCATATCAAAGCTTATGTATAGAAAGCTCATTGTCAAGCTCATTGTCAAGCCTGTACCCATTATATCTTGAGAGAAGAGTCAGTGATTTTTAATTTTTTTTTATGAACTCTGTGTCTTTGATGAGAAAATATTAAAACTTTGTGAGTAAGCCATGGGGGGCAGTTATCAGAATAAACTTTATGTGAAAGTTATGTTTTTCATACACAAGTAGCATCTGTGTGGCTTTCTTTCTTATAACAAACTTGAGCCCTAGAGATATGGTTAAACAATTTTGTCTAGATGATGCAGAGATGGCTCAGCAGTTAAGAGCACTGGCTGCTCTAGCAGCGGACTGGGGTTCTGTTCCTAGCACCCACATGGAGGCTCACAACCATCTGTAATTCCAGTTCCAGGGGATGTGAAGCCTTCTTCTGTGGACACTGCATGCCCATGATCCACAGACATACAAGCAGGCAATACACATACACATAAAATAAAAAATAAAGCTTTAAAAAATTGTTTAACACCCTATCCCATCAATAGAAAGCCTGTTCCATCATGGAATACACCTGTCTGTCCTCCTCAGAAGAAAAAGGGTCTTTTTACATATTTTAAGACTATTTTCAATTTATATATACACACATATAAAATGTTACTGTATGATTCATGATAGTTTTAATGTTATTTATCATGTAAAGTATAATATGCTTGGGATTTAAGAGTTTTATTTTTATGTCCAAAATGAAAGATCTTGGAAGTATGTCTAATCTAGAGGTTGACAGTTAAGATTCAGAATTATATCTCAACTCTGCAGAATAATGCCCCAGAGACAGAAAGATAAAAACCTAACCTAGATAGGTATTAAATCCCTGCACAAAGAATAGGCAAAAACTAGAGAATTCTGGTTCAACATTATTTTATATGAAAAAGATCTATAGGTCACGTTACCACAGACTCAGAATGTAATAAAAATTCTTGCATTTTGACACATCAGTAATTCTTATCTCTGAAATAAAATTTACTTTCAAAATATTAGGACTTCATCCACAATATTTTATTTTTCAAAAGATAGGCCAAATTTGTGGAAAATATACTGTCACTTTCGTTTGAGAAAAGACAAAATCAATGCCTGGTAAATGCAAACCCTTTAGGAATATTTAGGTCAAATATTCCTTCCCAAACCTGAGATTTTGACATGGAGATATGCAGTGATAGTCATTGTCATAGCAGCTTTTTGTGTTCCTTATGGACAAATGAACTTTCCGGTGGGTGACTCATATTTTAGGAAAGACTGTTCACATGCAATACCTTTTCCAGAAGGCTTGAGTTTAAGGGCAGTAAGAATCTAACTATCCCCTGAAATCCACACCCCAAGCCAGGAGATGACTGTTACTGTGAAACTTGCAGAAAGATGTTCCCCTTCCTCCCGACTCACTCCTTTCTCCCCTCCCAGTTACATAGCCTAGACTAACCTGGAATCTAGGTTTCTCTGGCTTTGAAATCCAGACCTCTGGGATTACAGGCACTTCCTAGCACACTCAGCCCTCATTTTCACTTATACAAACCTCCAAATAAGAAAGTTTAGAACTTTGTTTTTATTTCATGAACAGCCTAAAATTTGATTTCTTGTGATTTTAAATATGTAAGTAGTTATCGCATGAGGCACAAGGAAGTGTAAGTGTGGGGAAATGAAATAATTTTTCAGTGAGGGTTCAATATTGTATTTGTGAATCCTGGTAGTTTTTATTACTGATAACAAAACAGGTAATTATAAATTTTTCTTGACTATTTTCTGTTTTATTCTAAAAGTTAATAACCAATCTCTTACACAAAGACAGTGTTTCAGGAAATAGCCACTTGAACAAGAAGCTAAATTAGTGGGACCAATGTATTGATGTTTTTCTGAGAACACTAAGCCGTGGTTTCATTTGAGTCATCTGTCTTTGCTCTGATGTCTACTGTAGCACATGAGAAGGAGACTCAAGGTCTTAACTCCATTACTGCCTTTATTCAGTGCTGTCAGACCAAGAATAGGTGTTTACCTACTAGTGTGTGCTGCTCCTGAGAGAGTAGCTCATTGTAATTCTCTCCTCCAGTTTTCTTTCCCCAAGGAAATATCTTTATCTCAGATCTGTCTAATTAGCCAGTGCGTGAGGAACAGTAAATTGTGAGACAATCACAATGTTCATGGTTGCTGTTCTAAAAAAAAAAAAAAAACCAAACAAACAAACTAAAAACTCAATAACCTTTCCATCTATATTTTCTTGTTTACATGGTGTGGAGCAAAATGGATCAAACAGGCATAGATTTGTGGTAACAGAGATGGTGCTTTTGTACAATATAACACATACTGTGTATCAAAGAAGTATTTGTAGCACTGCTCTGAAGTTGACATTGGAATGACATTGTAATCCTGGCCATCTGTCTTCCTCCTCTAGACATCGATGAATGTGCGGTGGTGAATGGGGGCTGCCAGCAGCGCTGTATTAACACTCTGGGCACCTTCCACTGTGTGTGTGATACAGGGTACAGACGCCATGCTGACGGACGCACCTGCATAAGTGAGTAAATATTAGAGCCAGCTTGAAGCCATTTTCAATGAAAATCGACCTGCCCATGCAAGGGGCAGAGGAGAAAGATGTTTCTATTGTAAAAAATGTCTATAGAAGCTGCCGGCATTCGAGTTCAATTCTATCTTCTAGAATATAAAAGGCATTTTTCTATTAAAAGATAGACAAAGATGGAGAAAGAAATGTAGAAACTAATGTTTATAAGCACAACTTGATTCTGCACATATGTGATTATTTCTATAATGTATAATTTTGGCATATTTGGTAAAGTATAAATTTGTTATTTATTACTTATACAACAAGTATGACATCAGACTAAAATGAGGGGATAAGTTAACCCACAGTAATTACTAGATACCGTGATCTGTGTAGAACTGTAGTTAGAAATAAGTTCAAAACTAAAACTCAGTCAGTGACAAAATTATACTAGATTATATTTCAAAGAACTCGAAGTTACCCACATGCACTTGAGACTACACATATTTAATATAGGTTACAGCATATTTATCCTGCCACAAACTGTGCTTAAATGTAATTTTGGAGCAATAAAATGATCATTCATCTCTTCATTTACATGATTTTGAGATCATGAATTTCCTGAAATAAGTAAATGCTACTTTTGTAAGTGAAAAGAAAGGAATGGAGTTTTAAGAACACCCTTCCTGGTATGATTACTAATGTTCCTTGTTTTCACTGAAATAATTTGAGTAATAGCGTTTTTATTTTTCAGTGAGTCGTGATCTTCACCTGACATAATGATACTTTCTGGTTTTATCTCAGGTCCCTGCTTAAAGTAATTATTATATTAACAACATAGCACTTGGTATAGGACAGTTTAATTACTTTCTTTGTTTATATATGTTTTATTAACCATTTTACCCTTACTTAATCGCTATTAGTAGCTCACAAAGTATTTTATAAGGTGAAGCTTAGAATATAAATCACCATTTTCAATTAGTGTGGGAGCATACATGCCTTCTGCTGTTCCTAGCATGTCTGAGAGGAGGCTGCAAGCAGGCAAGGATGCTCTAGCCATTAACTGATCTTGATGTGAGAAAGCAGGTCATGAAAGTGTGAGAGAACAAAAGGAGAGGGACAAGAGGGAAGAGTTCTTTTTCAAAGTCAAATGAGGACAATTAGAAGGCAGACCCTACTAGCTAGGACCTCGGATCAACACGGTGGTAGTCACAGAAAGCACACATGGCAGGACAGTGGCCCAGCACACTTATTAAATGGAAACATCATCTTTGTCTTTGAGGGATCAACGGCATTTCCATTCCTAGGTCATGTGCTACTAGCATCCCCTCAAACTACAACCTACATCACAGCTGTGCAGAAGAGGCATGAGCTGATGTATTTATGCAAATGAGATATTTGTTGGGAAAGGACAAGCTTCGCTGATAAAAATTTCATCTAAAGTAAAATCATTTTTTTAAGTAGTGGTTTATATGAGTCAGGAATATTGGGTTTTCGTGGAAGGGCAAAATAAACAGCAAGCATAGCTAACTTTTGTCTAGGGAAAAAATTGGTTTGCTAAACTCTTAGCAGTCATTAGCTGCTCCAACCAGCCACTCTTCTCCTTGCCATCATGGTTATTGTGTTAATGACATTTGGTCAAAATTGAGCTTCATTGGACTGGGATATTATGGTTTACTCCATCTATTTCTAGTCCTTAGGAGCAAAATCTCACTGCATATACATGAAGCCACAATGACAGTAACTTAACATCTGTATGTGGGTCATTCTACTCAGAATCCCAACATTGTGTACAAATGAAATTTATTTTGTACAACTAACAAGTGAAACTCTGTCATCACACTCAGGTCGGGGCTCCAGCCCCTTGGTTGGCATTCTCTAGCAGCTGCTGGGCAGAGCCACACACAGACTTTGCTGTCTTGATGTCTTTGTTGTGCACACACAAGGAAATTTGATTATAGAGAGACTATTAGGAAGCTCTGACAGCACAGTTACATCAACCTTGAGAAAGGGTTCAGGAAGATTCTCTTTGAAAGTGCTTTGTGTTTGAAGGTCAAGATGGAGCCTTCAGGACAACTGTTTGCTTATTTGTACAGAAAGAACCCTGTAAGGGAGTGGCCCACAGTGGTCTGTGTCTGGGGTTAGTCTATAGGAAGGTAATTTGTCTTAATACAGAGCCGTTGAATTGGCTCATTTCTATTTTTGAAACAAATTCTTATCATATAGCCAAAGCTGGTCTTGAACTAAAAATCCCCTTACCCCAGCCTCTTAAGGGCTTGGGTTACTTATTGATGGGATCCACCATTTCCAGCTTCTTTGGGGATTGTTCTCACAGAAGACAGAAAGGTGTCTGAGGTTGTAGTAGACATTTGTCATGAAACTCAAAGAGTCACAGAAAAGGCAGCAATAAAATGCCGGGACTTGAAGACTTCAGTGTATTTGAACTTAGGTCCCTTCCTTTACTTTGTTATGTTCATCTGTCTGTCAGTCACACATCTGGGCAAGAGCTTCTGTGCTATTGCAAGTATGCTGACCTGACATGGAGTTGCAGATACTTCTTTCAGGGCCTAGTCTGCAAGAGCATTGCTTTGTCATCATATATACATAGCCACTGCAGGTCAGCCTCTGTCAGAATCACTAGGTCACATAGACAGGTATAAAAGGAGTTCTCAACAGCTGTCAAAGGTAACAGGAAGTTGCATGTATCAGCAACTTGGCTCCAACAAAGGTTTGTTTGGGTTGCAGACAAAATACAATATGTAGCTTCAGTAAGCAGTTTGAGCAAGTTTTTAATTTCCTTCAAATCCTTATATGTGTTAGTGACACCCCAGAATATCCCAAACACATTTCTAGAGTTGATAACATTTATTTAAAAGTATATATGAAGGAGAAACTTGTGACATCGTTGTCATGGTGCTATCCTATACTACTGTTGTATGTATGAGACACAGCTGTTCAGTCATTGTTCCTTCCTTGATCTTCTGTATAATAAGATTCCAGGACAGGGAGAGAGCTCAGTCACTAAATTCTTGCCTCACAGAGATAAGAACCAGAGCGAAATCCCCAGAACACATTCAGAAATCTGTGGCCTGGTGGTGCATGCTTGCAATTCACATCTGGGGTGCTGAGGAGATAGGATAATCCCTGGGGCTCACTGAGGCTGGTCTAATTGGTGACTCTAGGCCAATGCAAGAGCTTCTGTGCTATTGCAAGTATGCTGACCTGACATGGAGTTGCAGATACTTCTTTCAGGGCCTAGTCTGCAAGAGCATTGCTTTGTCATCATATATACATAGCCACTGCAGGTCAGCCTCTGTCAGAATCACTAGGTCACATAGACAGGTATAAAAGAAGTTCTCAACAGCTGTCAAAGGTAACAAAGGAGATAGACAGAGTTTCTGAGGATATTGCCAGAGATTGTCCTACAGACATACAGATGAACGTCTACTTCCATATGCACACATAGACTTGTGCATACACATGCCGCCCCCCCCTCTACAAACACACACTAAATTCCTGATGTCCTTAAGAAGCACATGTCCCATGCCATATCACTTTACACCTTTCTGAAAATAGTATCAGGGGCCATTCTGAGGAGAGGCACCATATATGAGGGCATCTCAGCAAATGAAGCCATTGGCTAATGGGAGAGTTTAGATACAGCATGGGAAAGTCAACAGGAGTGAGGTCTACACACTTGCAGAGCTAACAAGGTGAGTTGGGGGAAAAAAGTGAAAAACAGATTAAATTTTAGCAAGCTTAAAAAAGAGCAGAGGTATCTGCTGTGGGATGTTCTGTATGGCAAATGTGTTGCTCTGATTGGTCAATAAATAAAACACTGATTGTCCAGTGGCTAGGCAGGAAGTATAGGCAGGACTAACAGAGAGGAGAAAAGAAAGAACAGGAAGGCAGAAGGAATCACTGCCAGCCACCACCAGGACAAGCAGCATGTGAAGATGCCAGTAAGCCACGAGCCACGTGGCAAGGTATAGATTTATGGAAATGGATTAATTTCAGCTATAAGAACAGTTAGCAAGAAGCCTGCCACGGCCATACAGTTTGTAAGCAATGTAAGTCTCTGTGTTTACTTGGTTGGGTCTGAGTGGCTGTGGGACTGGCAGGTGACAAAGATTTGTCCTGACTGTGGGCCAGGCGGAAAACTCTAGCTACAGGTATCCATGCACATGAGTTTGTGTGCCAGGTCTTGTCCATATAGACTCACAGCCGTAACACATGTGGGCATGTGACCTGCACCAAGTCACCAAATCTCTCTACATCCTGGCTTTCTGATGTAGAAATGGATATGTCATTCTTAGAATGACTTCAACGCTAACATGTTACAATTTTACAGACAACAAAATTATGAAATCATTATAAGACATCTGCTAAGGAAACACCTCTACTTGATTGTGCATATCTATAACCTTTTATAACTTGTTTTATTCAAAAATTGTTAAAGAACTCCAACTTTTAAGAACCCAAGCATGAAAACAGAATGTAAGAACTTCATGATCAGTTTAATAATAATAAAAATATCAGTGAGTACTTAAATGATTTGATTATATATGCATACTTAGGTGCTTTTTAAAAAAACAACACTTTTTTTCCCCATATCATTGAGCTGTATGAACTTAAGTTCATTTCAGATGCATTTTCTTTAAATTTCTGATAAATGCAAATGAACAAATGAAACATAGCTCACAAAGACACTGCTAAATCAAATTCACGGCCCATTTTAGTGAATAAAACTTTACAATGGCTGTTGACAATGTGAACTACCAGTATATCATCAACCTAGTTGGTAGTACCCATGTACCACTCCCCTCAGCATTCTGTGACAGTCTCCCCAAAGCTTGACTATCCCCATTCTCTGTCAACTTTTCTCCTTCTGCGCTGCACTTTCCTCTGAATGTAGGACATAGCTTAGCCCCAAGTCTGTCTGCCAAAACTCTACTTACTGTGTTTCACATTAAATGTCATCAGCCTTGTTAAATTTTCTCTGTGGTTCTAGCTAA